AATCTGGCAAGTTTGTTTCTTCTTTTGTCATTTTTTCTAAATGAAATCCCAATTGATATTTGCAAAATACATTTTTTTTTATCCAGAATTCATAATTTATAAAGTATTTATGAAATTAATTTAAGTTGTTGTCTTAGACAAATATGATGTTTTTTTTTAATCTACAGTAGACAAAAAAAAATACTCGAATATACATTGATAGTTGATTATATTTATTTACTATTTGTTTTGAATAATGCATAAGAGACGATGATTATGTCAATATATATATATTTTCGTATTTGATCCTGACAATGGATTTAGTTTTAATGATCAACTATTTAATGGTTAATTATTATGTGCTTATGTTGATAAACGATGTGATTGATGAAAGAGAAATAATATTTTGCGAGACACACAAATCCTAATGAGAGAAATAGAAAATATCGAACAAAGGCTTTTTTTTTTATATGCAGTGAAGTATTTTGGATACCGTTCTCGAATGAGTATTTCAGAAGAATAAGAATCTCAATTGCAATTTTCTTTTTGTTTACAAATTAGTGTCAAGGATTCGACTCGGCAATTAATAATGTCTTGACGTTTCAGAATATCAAATTGATAATTTATATAAAAAGTATAGGAGTAAAAACACTGGTTCGATCATGGTTGAGCAGTTTATTATACTTGTGAATAGATCGTAGGAGTGGAAAGCGATGTTATTTTACTAAAAGAATTCGGTTTTAATGAAAATTCATTTACAGATAATGGTAAACCATATAAAGAAGTAATTGAATACATGGAGAGAAAAATTAATTATCCATAAAAAAAAAAGGTAAACTTGTATTATCATGATGGAAAAAGTATTCATCCATGTATCCATAATTATGACGTTTGGCAACAACACTGCGTTGTATTTCAATGTCATCAGCAACAAGCAAACAGTATACTTAGCGAAATTGATCGAATTTTAGAAGCATACAAACACCAAGTGAATTCTCAATCATTTGATCTTGTTGTGGAATTTCGGATTATCTTTCTTTTTGTTGATGTTTATGAAAGAAAGTAAATAGTACACATTTTCATTTAAAATAAAAGTTTGAAAACCATACTGTGACTATGAAAGTATCTGCTGGATGTCGATTATCTCTGGTTGCAAAAAGTCTTATCCGCAAAGGACACTATATCAAACGTTTATACAATAAATATTCAATCATGTTCTCACATGTAAATCAAATAATCAAACTATCCTGATTTAATAGTTTATATTTGTGCTCATCATCTATGTATCATATCAAGTAACTGCACATGAAGAAGATTTAACTATAAGGCGATAATCGGAAGTACAACTATTATGTATAAGACATTTGTGTGCAAGGTAAATGTGTGCACAACCTTTTATGTGCAAATAACTATTTTTTGTCAAAAAAAAATGCATGTCATTCAATACAGAAAAATAACAAAAATAAATAAACCAAGACAAGCAAATCGATAAACAATTATAACATAAATGTATGAGCAATAGCTTTCAATTTTTGTATATTATCATTTGCAGGATCTTCTAAAATTCGTAAAATCCTAGATGTTATACATTGAGTTTTGATCCTCGTTGATTTTGACGTGAGGTCTGTTGCCAATTGACTAATCTCACCATCTACATGCGATTGGTCTGTTGAACGATTATTCAAAAAACGCCAAAATTCAGGATGTGCTAAATGCACGATGTTATTAAGTTGTCGTTATCTCCCTTCAATAGCGTTGTTTGTATAATCGAATTGATTCACTAATGAATTGTGCAAATTCCAAAATGTGACTGGAAACTTTGAAATTGTTCTTCTATTGCGATTTCAAAATCAACCAATGTAGTAATCTTCAAAATAATTGTAAAGTGAATCAAGATCTGATATTTGTAAATCACCAAGATATTCAAATACTGCGAAGACATCATTTAACTCCAAAAAAGCTAATCCAGGAAGCATCCGTAGTGCATATGTATATTCTTCGTCGTTCCCATATTTAGTTGTAAGACCTGCTTGTTGATGAATGTTTTGTGTTAGGTGAAAAAAAAGCAACCATGAACGCTTGATTGAAGCCAACATGAACTGATAGCTTTCATTGCTGCAGATTCAAAATCAATAAGAATTGTTTTAAGATTGAATAGTAAAAGGTGTCTCAAAAGTTTCGACCCCTCTCAGTAAAATCAATAATATCTATATCAAATTTATATGAAGATATCGATCAAATTATGTCAGTTTGTAGAAGAAGAGAAGAGCTATCATCTGAAAAAAACACAGTTCGAAATATATATATTTATTACAACCTTATGGTCATTGTACTAATTTTGAGTGAAAATTTTTACGTTGCACTCTTTGAAAAAACAAAAATATTTTTGCAATGTTTGAGTCATTAAGGTCAATCGAAATATGATTTTCTACATTGTCTCAGTAGATAATTTTATATGATTCGGTAGAGTTCGACAAGCTCTTCTAGAATATGGATATCAAAAAAAATTCGGATCCTCTTTTCAATACAAAACCTGAAAGAAATCAGCTAGACTAATAAAAATCTGGCATATGATTCATTACAGAATATACTTAACTTTCCATAACTTTGGTAGATCGACTGTTCAGTCTATTATTTTATGTTTTGAGATACTTTGTTATGTACTGTAGATGAAAATACTGTTTCTAAGCTTCACAAACAGATCAATAGTCGATTAACTCAACTTATTGAAAGTTAAGCATACTCTCTTTAATGCAAGATATATGAGATTTTTATTATTAGTCTTTCTGCTTTTCTCCCAGCTTTGCATCAGAAACAGGATCAGCAAACTTGTTGATATTCATACTCTTGTAGAGCTTGACGAACTCTATCGAACTATATAAAAAAGTCTGGAAAATAATATTTCACTTCAAGTATTATGAGAATATTTTCGTTTTTTCAAAAAATGCAACGTAAAAATTTTCACTCAAAATTAGTACAATGACCATAACTTTGTAATAAATATATATATTTCGAACTATGTTTTTTTTCAGATGATAGCTCTTCTCTTCCTCTACAAAATGATATAATTTGATCGATACCTTCATAGAAGTTTGATATAGATATTATTGATTTTACTGAGAGGGATCGAAACTTTTGGGACACCCTTTATCGTCAAACAGAAGAAATTAGGCAGAGAATGATGGTGAGAATGACATTTCGATCTTAGGATCAGCTGAGCAATGACTCCTCAGAATCATGGCTTTCTTTTAGTAAAGTTTAAATGTGTTATACGTATCAATAGATAAATCCCGATAAATTTCATGGTGTAAATAAATCCAAAAAATCCCAAAACAAACCTCGTTAGCCTTTCTATGGTGATCACGAGTTTAATGATGTCAGACAATTCTAATACTTGTAAAAACTATATGAGAAACAAGATAAAACTTTTGTTGAACTGAAACTGCAAGTTATGTTCACCTGTATTCAAGTTTCATTAAGATTATCTTCCATTAACAAGCATCTTCTAGAAGTTAATTATTCGTTGAACAACTTCAAAGAGTCAAAGAAATTTACTATTCGTAGTTCACACTGATAATTTTAGTCTATTATTAACATGATTTCACTTCTATAATGCTCATATTGTTTATCCATTGAAGAAAAAACGAAAAAAAAAGTCTGATTTTAATCAGATTATTTTGTTGTTAATCACTTTTAATTGCTACGACTATAAAATATGTTTTTCTTCAATTTTAATTTACGAACTCAAATTTTTTATTTATTTAGTCAAATTTTTCGGCTCAATAAACAGTAAATATCACATCAGACTAATCTCCGATACAGAATCTACACATTTCGAGGAAAGATATAAAAATGATACGTACTCCTGTAAAAAAAAGAATATGGATAAATCAGATTGGTTTTCATTTATTTCATTTATAGGCTGATTGTCAATTCACTCAACCTTTTGTATGGACGAGGAGTATTATCCAATTAAACAAATGCTTTGTTTTTATTTTTTATCCAAATCTTCTTTGAGAAAAAAGGTAAGATCCAGGTGTAGCGATGTGACGAAAGTTCAAGCCTATTCAACCATATTGAGACATTGAACTAGGCAGCCGATTTCAAGGCATGGTGCAAACTATCTTATCAACATTGCTAACTTATGAATTAAATAGAACCAGATTTTTGCTCGTTGTCTTTTAGTTTTGAATTGTATTATTTGAACAATCTTCATAGTTTACAAACAAATAATGCTTTAGTAACTTTCACAATAAAATTTTTCCAAATATACAAAAACTCATTCGATTTATAAGAGAATTGCTAAATAATTATTTGATTTTAGACCATCAAATGATTTGAATTGTAACATTTAGAATAAATGAAAAACTATGTAGTTATTACAATTTCTTTTTTTATCCTTTATGAAAGTAATTATTTTGGCAATGTTGTGATTTCATGCTTGTATTAACTTACTTATTCGATATAATACGCAGTAAATATTCATACTAATCAATATTATTCAGAGTTAATCTTTGAGATTATTTCTTTCTTCTTTTTGCCTATGTTAAAAGTAAAACTGTTTTTAGTCATTGTCGTGCAATTTGAATGTCATATCAAATATGCTTTTGGCATCTTTCTACCTTGAAAAATAATCGAATGAATAATTCGTATTCTTGAATATCAAAAAGAAAACAAGATCATTCATAATTCTTTTTTTCACTTCAAAAGTTTCTTTTTGTATGTTTATTTGGGTGAATCAATATTGTGTATATATATATATATGTGCAACAAAAATCTATTCACATTTACTTTCATATTGTAAGTGTAACTATTCAAATATGAAACTCCAACAGTTCGCTTTATTTGCTTTTATCTTATGTGTTTTGATCATGGAAATTTCTACTATTGATCGAGACTGTAAGTATATATCGAAATTACATATTAAGAATTTTTCTTAATTTGAAATTTAGTTGAAGATGATGATGAATATCGTCAACTCAAACGTTTCTTATGGCATAAAAAAACAACAACTCGTGAACCAAAAACTACAGAGTCACCTTGGTATCCATCATCAGGTGCATGTGCATCTAGTCCTTGTGAACATGGTGGTATTTGTACATCAAGAGAAGAAAAAATCTTTGAGTGTAAATGTGTTGGTCCATGGCGAGGCATCTATTGTGGCATTGGTATGTAAACGAATTTTATTAATTATATATTAAGTTTGTTTTTGTTTTTGAGCTGATGCATGTTACCGCTCGCCATGTCGAAACGGAGGTACATGTCTTAATGTAATTGATGATTATTGGTGTAAATGTCCAACTGATTATAACGGTGAATAGTAGATTGTATTATTTTTTTGTATTTAATCTTTTGGTACTTTTTTTGTTTAGGAAAAAATTGTGAATCAAGTAAGTTGATGTTATAATATGATTCAATTCGATATTTTGCTTTTCGTTTGTAGAATTCTCTAATCCTGATAATGGGGAAAATCATTGTCGACCAAGTATTTGTAATACTGGTCGATGTGTTTCTCTAAAGACAGGTTATTATTGTCGATGTCCTGATGATCGTTATGGTGATCATTGTGAAAAACGTTTAAGTAAGTAAACTGACAATGTTTAAATGATATACATGTTTCTTTTTTTTTGTTAGACAATTATAAACGAGGTTCTTCTGGTCGACAATCGTTTGACGAATTATTAGAACAATTTAAACGAGCAATGCGTGATGAAATTCTTACTGATGACGATGATAATGATAATGATGCATGAGCTTTTAATGACTATAAAAAATAAACTTTGCTTTAAAATTTTATTTTTTTTGCAAATGAAAAATATTCCATCGGTTTTAAAAATAAATAAAAGAGAAGAATATCTGAACTTGGAAGATATATTTAACACATTCGGGTATGGGTATGAGTGTGGGTATCAGTCGTTCATATGCCCGCATCCCACACCCACAACCATTCGCACCCTCAAAAACGGTGCTAGAGTCAAATTACTGGAAACATCGATTCGCTCCAGCATTTCAAAACCATTTCGACGAAAATAATCAGCGGAAAAAGCTGTACAAAATGAAATACGTTAAAAAGTTTTTGGATACCTTTGTAATTTTTATCCTTAATTATTTATGGAAGTAGCTGCAAAAAAACGGTAAAGTCTTGTATTGAAGTAGATTATGCTAGATTTCAAGCGCATCATAGAGCTGTTGATTTATGTATTAAAACTTAGTACTTCTATGATTAGAAGAAAAAATTAGCTCGTTTATTCATAATGCGGTGAAAATATACGATGTTTTTTTTTTGGTAGATGACTTTTGAAGCACTCTATATATGTATGTTGTTGGTCGTATTCTTACTCCTGAATTATTTTTAAGCGCTTTTTTGCCTTCTTCCACTTTTCTAGATGGAATTCTAATTGATATTTGGAAAATAAATTTGTTGTTAATCAGAGTTAATGATTTATATAAATATGTATGAAATTAATTTAAGTTATCGTCTTAACTGTTTAAGTAATAGCGTCATGAATAAACGATGCTTTGTTTAAGTATGTTAATTTTTAAATAACTCAAGAACACAAAACGATATCGAGGTGCGGTTTTCGCTATGACATAGAAGACACATTTCAATATATCTATCGAATCAAGAATGATAACATTAATAAAGTCAATGAAATAGTAAATCTGATAAGTTTGTGAAAGACAACCAATACATAATTTTAGAAGATGTACAATCTTTAGAGTTCTATGAATCTAGTAGTTCTTCGGACTAGCATGAAAAATAATTGTATTCAAAAGTCCGACTGATTCTAATTTGACATATCTTGATTTTTTATCATCGATTATCATGGCACTGATCCAAGAAGAATAAACTAAAAAAAAACGAACGTCATATTCAATAAATTTCAACAGAAACAGGTCATCCGGAAGGAAAGTATCATTTGATACATGAAATAACAAGAAAACTGCATCTTTCAATTGCTGATAATCAAGTGAACGAATGCATTTCAACCTAAACTAATCTAAGTTTCCAAATTTCGAATCAGCTTTGATGGAAATATTAATACTGCTAATCACCTGAGTGTTTTAAATATAAAAGCTAACAGAAATTTCTCTCTCAGGCAGAGCCATGGTACTTAAAGAGTTAACCAAATATGATTATTTTTTATGCGTAGTAGAAAAAAAAACTCAAGAATGTATTGACGGTTGATTCTGGTTATTCATTATTTGTTTTGACTGCCATCAGAGATGATGATTATGTCAATATATGTATATTTCGCATTTGATCGTGACAATGGATTTAGTTTTAACCATAAACTATCAGATGGTTAATCTTTATATACTTATGTTGATAAATGAGAAACAATATTTTGCGAGATACACAAATCCTAATGAGAGAAATAGAAAATGTCGAACAAGGTCTTTTTCTATATGTCGTGAAGCATTTTGGATACCGTTCTCGAATGAGTATTTCAGAAGAATAAGAATCTCAATTGCAATTTGTTTTTTGTTTACAAATTAGTATCAAGGATTCGACTCGGCAATTAATGATATCTTGACGTTTCAGAATATCAAACTGCTTATTTATATAAAAAGTATACGAGTAAAAACACTGGTTCGATCATAATTGAGCAATTTATTATACTTGTAAACAGATCGTACAGATAATGATGAACCATATGACAAAGTAATTGAATACATGGAGAGAAAAATTAACTATCCATAAAAAAAAAGGTGAACTTATATTATCGTGATGGAAAAAGTATTTATTCACGTATTCATAATTATGGTATTTGGCAACAACACTGCGTTGTATTTCAATGTCATCAGTAACAAGCAAACAGTATACTTAGCGAAATTGATTAAATTTTAGAAGCATATAAACACCAAGTGAATCCTGAATCATTTGATCTTATTGTGGAATTTCAGATTGTCCTTTTTTTGTTGATGTTTATGAAAGAAAGTAAATAGTAAACATTTTCATTTAAAATAAAAGTTCGAAAAACCATACTGATTGTGAAAGTATCTACTGAATGCCGATTATCTCTGGTTGCAAAAAGTCTTATCCACAAAGGACACTACATCAAATGCTTATACGTCTATGTATCAGATCAAATAATCTCTACAGGAAGAATATTTAGCTATTATGAGATAATCACAACATTATTCTTTTAAATTTAAAATAATATTCATGACCTTTTTCATAACAAGATTATCAGCACTTAATTAATTGTTACCAATGGTCTATCATTAATTGAAAACATAATTGTTCCTTATAGATTTTTGAAATTCATTATATCGAAAGTGTCTATGTGATTTAAATGGGACAAAAACCAGCGGCAAAACTTCGGTAGACCGTCCAGTATAATCTGCACTATACTGGCAGTAGTTTGATACTTAAACAGTACAGTATCCTCTGATCATCATTCGGTAATGCAGTGATAATACGAATAAATGCGCAGCATGGATGAACAAGATCTTTAGTTGAACAAGTTGTACTAATAATCAGCACCTATCAGGACTTTTCTATAAATCCCATTTTATACCTAATATCTCATTCATTAGAATGATGGCTTTCTTTTAGTACAATTAAAATGTATTATAATTCCATGGTGTAAATCTAATAAATGTCGGTAGCCGCTCGAAATATGCATTGTTTATTTTTGCTTTTTGTGTCCGAACCAACTCTGGTGCACGACTCCAGTCAGTCCGGAATAATACAAACTAGAAGTGTATTTTTTTTAGTGGAACTCAAAAATCATTGAGGTAAATATTTGAGCATTGTGAAAAGTTCATCATCATGAAACTGAAATTGCAAGTTATGTTCATCTGTACTCAAGTTTCATGAAGATTATCTTCCATTAACAAGGATCTTCTAGAAGTTAATTATTCGCTGAATAATTTCAAAGAGTTAGAGAAATTTACTATTCGTAGTTCACACTGATAATTTTAGTCTATTATGAACATGATTTCACTTCAATAATATTCAATCCACTTATCCATGGAAACAAACGAAAAAATAAATCTAGTCTTCATCAGATTATTTCGTTTTTAATCGTCACAACCATAAAACATGTTTTTCTGCAATTTTAATTCAGAAACTCAAATTTTTTATATATTCATTCGAATGTGTCGCTTCAACAAACGGTAAATGTCACATTGGACTAACTTTTGGCACACAATCTACACTTCTACTTAGATGAGATATTAAAATGATACGTACTCTCCTATAAAATATGTCAATTGTCGATTCACTCAGCCTTATGTAAAGAAAATAAGTATCATCCAACTAAACAAATATTTTGTTTTTATTTTTTGCCTAAATGAAACTTACAAAATGCTTGCATAGTGAACGTTTCTGATTGCTACTAACTGCAAGATGCATAATTCTTTGAGAAAAAAGGGAAGATTCAAACTCTCCTAGCCGACCGATTTCGTGGCGTGGTACAAAACATCTGATCAACATCACTAACTTATGAATTAAATAGAACCAGTTTTTTTTTTACTCATTTTCTCTTAGTTTTGAATTGTATTATTTGAACAATCTTCATAGTTTACAAACAAATAATGCTTTAGTAACTTTCACAATAAACTTTTTCCAAATATACAAAAACTCATTCAATTTATAAGAGAATTGCTAAATAATTCTTTGATTTTAGACCATCAAATGATTTGAATTGTAACATTTAGAATAAATGAAAAACTATATAGTTTTTACAATTTCTTTTTTTATCCTTTATGAAAGTAATTATTTTG